TTTCTACATTGTGATGAGCAGTTTTCAACTTTCTAAAAGTAAGTCTTGAGAGCAACAACAAAGAGTAACACACTTGTTTTGAATGTATTAAAAAGTAGTCATGGTTGTTGAAGAACAGGAGGTCTATATTCTTGTGTCAAAATTACCTTTATTTTGTGAAAATAAAATTGAAAATTGAGAACACAGCATAGCTGCACAAAGGAAATTTTATTTTGCCTATATTCAGTAAGAGTTTTAGTCTGTGTATGAACACTCTCTCCTCTTTGTTCACAAAGATATTTAGGAGTTCCTAACCTTTATTCTCTAGAATGAAATGAAAAGCCTCACGATCGGTACAAAAAAGTTAACGAAAACCTTGAATAAAGTGGGATCATTATCGGAGGAAATCTTTTTTTTTTTCATAATAATGAACAATATTAATTTAAAATATTTTTTGCATGGCAAGACAAAATTAAATTTTATAATTTAGAATTGGTAAAAAGTTGGCTCCGGAAAACGATAGATGAACCCATTCATCGTTTTCTTTACTCAAAACTTGCACATTAAACTGACGACGTGCTAATAAAACACATATCTACATACTCATTCCTATTAACAAACCCACAACATCTTAAGGGCTATAGAAAGCTCTACTTCACAACAGTAATAACACACAATCTCATTTTATTTACACAGTCGCCCAAAATTGGCTACTTAAAGCTCCATCTGAATGTAAGGCAAAATTTCTTTCCTGTAATTACAAATTAATTACAAACTTTAACTTACACAAGGCATTTTTAAAAATTCATCACTTGTTTTCTGTTACAGGCAGTTCCCTCTTTAAATAAGAGTGTATATATTTGCACTATGTTTTACTGTCTTATGCCTCACTGAGACAAACTGGGACCTTGCAACTAATGTCCTATACGGCATAAAGAAACAACACATTAGCTCAAATACACTACCTTGCTTTACTATGCACAGTTGAAATAATGGCAGTCTCGCCACTCTTGATGTCATTACATTTGATATCTGTAAGGACAACAGAGTGGTTAGAAAAGCCTGGCACTGATCTGTTACAGCTGATGGAAATTTGAAAACCCTAGAGCTCAGTCTTGAAACAGGTGGTCAGGCTTTCCTCGGATCTCGTACTCCTTAGCTAACAAGTCTTCTACGCTCCAGGAGCACAAGCTGTTTATTTGTTCACGGTGCTTCAGTTGAGATCCCTGTCTTCTAAGAACCTGTATTCAAAAATAAAGCCCTCCTTCTTCCTTTGGCCCCATTTCTCATAATCAAAGTAAATGTAAGTGCCCTGAAAAAAAACAACAGGTAATTATTTCTTCCACCCAGTGTAGAGGTTAGACAAGATATTCACAAAAATTCTGATCTTTTTTAACCACCACTGTTATAGTAGTAGCCTATGTGACCACTTGAGTCTCAATTACCATTTTTATTTTACTACATACTAATTATTAACTAATTTTCATCTATTTTGGAAACCCATCCTAATTATTAACTATGATAAGTTGGAAGGAAAGCATCTAGTCCACAGCACTCACTGCCAACTCACGGGTACACAGCACTCACTGCCAACTCACGGGTCCACAGCACTCACTGCCAACTCACGGGTCCACAGCACTCACTGCCAACTCACGGGTCCACAGCACTCACTGCCAACTCACGGGTCACAGCACTCACTGCCAACTCACGGGTTCACAGCACCCACTGCCAACTCACGGGTCCACAGCACCCACTGCCAACTCATGGGTCCACAGCACCCACTGCCAACTCATGGGTCCACAGCACCCACTGCCAACTCACGGGTCCACAGCACCCACTGCCAACTCATGGGTCCACAGCACCCACTGCCAACTAATGGGTCCATAGCACCCACTGCCAACTCCGATCTAGTAGTTGGATTCAACTGTCGTATTTTTGTGGCAAGCAGTGTATTTGTAGATTCAAAGCCTGGCATGTCAACAACTAAACCATGCCATTCCCATTAACAATGTTGAGAAAAAATATAAAATAAAGAGCATTCCTACATTACAGTTCAGTTATTACAAAAGCTACAGTCTGCTGTGTCCTTCTTGTGTTGGGTTAAACATAAAAAATAACACTGATTACATAATTAATCAAGTCTACTGGTTGACAAAGTTTCACAAGAACAATCTTTACCTTTTTCTTTCACCTTCACATTTATCAAACATACTGAGGTGCATGTCCACCCACTCACACAAATATACAGAGGTTCATGTCCACCCACTCACACAAATATACAGAGGTTCATGTCCACCCACTCACACAAATATACAGAGGTTCATGTCCACCCACTCACACAAATATACAGAGGTTCATGTCCACCCACTCACACAAATATACAGAGGTTCATGTCCACCCACTCACACAAACGTACACATGTATGTCCACCCACTCACACAAACATACAGATGTGTATGCTCACCCACACAAACAATTTTATATGCCCACTCAGGCATACAAACATACAAAGTCTACCCAACTACTAATGTCCCTATCAAGACAGTTGAAAAACTGTAGAAACTAGTTACACAATCTACTCAACTACAAGTACTGGGTTAAAATGATAGTATCAAAACAGGAGAGGAGAGAAAATTTTCCCCCTGTAGTTACGAAACCTAGAAATATAGGTATGTTCTAACGTGTGAAAAACAAGACGTACCTGTTCAAACTCATCGTTTATCGTTTTGGGTTCTTCGTGCCTCTGAAACCACATCATATGTTCGGTGTGAAACCTCCACGACTGTTTTTTTAAAGCTTTTGCTGCTAGATACTGAGCTTTTGTCCCCTTATGACAAGAGAGAGAATCCCAACATTTTATGTACATTACACTAGTATTCAACGTATTCACACCATCTATTTTAAGAAACTGTACGTCTGTCTCGTAACAATGCAATGCTTAGATTTACTAATACCATGAAAAGATAAAAAAGAATAATATTTTGAAATTCATTCGCACTAATAACTTAACCTGCCCACAAGGTGCTAAAAAACGTCTAGCTAATTTAACACACACTATTATAAACAACATCTGATTGGTGTAAATTCACGAGATTTTAATAACAAGATTATCGGTAAATAGGTAAGACCACTCACTCCTAAATATGCACTTAACTAAAAATGTAAAATACCAGCTCTGTTATTATCATGGATAATATCTTAACATGATAAGGTTATTAAATGCATTATTACTCTCACAAAGAAGAAAACCAAACAAAGAAAACTTAAAATCTGTAGTTTCTTACAATTTATCTCATCAAGAGTTTATAAAAGAAGGGATAAAATTAAATATGATCCAAACAACAAATAAATGTTTTACCTCCATGTAATAGAAGATAAAAAAAAGGGTTTCTACTGAGAGTCTCTGGAAGAAGTCTAGCGAATCACAATTAGGTAGGCTCTGAGGATAGTACGATGGTGTTGGACAGAGATTCCTTGGAAAATATAACCTGAAATAACAACGAATCTTTTAGAATCATGAATGAAGTATCAAACAAAGCTACAATAGGGCTATCTTCACACAGTCATTCCTAATCTTGACCTGACAGACTAGAGAGAAGGCAAATAACTTTTTACACTTACAACACGAGTATGGATACTTGTATTAACACGTTCGCTGCCATGTGCACCACCGGTCCGTCACAAACAATTATGTTTCAAAGCCAAATTTCTCTTGTGACACGAGTTTGGAACACTGTGACTGCTCCTTGGCACCTCTTGACTGTTTAATTTTATTTATACTCATTATTCGATAGCGTACGTGTAAGTAATTTATTTGGACTATTATCATGTTATTTTAGTTTTTAATACAATATTAAACATCAGAGAGAACTACTGACAAATCCTGAAAGAGAGGATGTGACAAGAGGGGTTTAATTTTCTATTTGATGGCTCTGTAATGAAACAAAATTGAAGGCTATGGAAAATATGCTGTGCCTGAGGAATGACAACATTATAATGAGTAATTTACATTAAATTTCATATTTCTTGGAGGGGTGGTAAATAAATTAAAGAAGGGATGCCTAAAGAAAAAATTTCACCTTTCTCACACTAGGGGAAATTCAGGATTTTGTTTTTTTAATACTGCTTTATAAAATTAAAACTTATATAATATTAAAATATTGATTATTAGCTATGATTTTATGCTCTACTCATTGGTATAACATGAACAAAAAGTAGTTTTAATTAAATTATGAATGTCACTCACTAAAAACATCGTAACATGTGCAGTAAAGGATGCCTGTGGCGAGTGTGTTAAGGCTAGGGTCAGGCATAGCTTAAATCAAAGTGCAAAAAAATATTCAGTATGTTAAGTTATAATAGAAAACCAACTCAATAAAAGTATTTAACCGAGTCTAAATATCCCAGAATGTTAGCTTGTAGTATAAAACGTTTACCTTAGTCTTTCCGAGTCAGATGGATGAGGCATGTGTTGACTGGAAGCTTCAAGCATCTGTGACTGAAAGAAGCAGTTCTTGGTGAGAGGAACTGGGCCAAGAGGAGCTACACCAAGTAAGGGTGGGATGTGAGCTTCCATGGTAACACTGTTTGTTAATGTTCCTGATACAGGTTGGACTGTATTTGCCTGAAGACTTAAGGAGTTTGTTGTACTACTAAATAACTCTGCAAATACAGAGAAACATAAAATAACTTAACGTTTCTTGAATGCACCATTATTCTTATTAAAATTTAAACTTAAGGTATCTGTAAGGTACTTATGTTAAAGGAGTGGTGACTGGATATAAATCACTGTCATGGTTAGCAGCCTATACAATTACCTAAGTATATTCAATAATTATTTACTTTAAATTACTAACTACAAATTGGTTAGGATCCTACATTCCAGCTGTTAATCTGCTGCCTTCTTTATGAAAAATCCTGAAATGGATTGTGTTTGTAGTGGTAATGGCCAAGATTCGATCCTGGGTCATCTCACTAGAAACCATTCACTCCTCTGGGATTTCCCTCAAATTAGGACTATTTTAACGGTTTATCCAGGGGTTGCTGACTTACATACTAGGTTGACTATGTTATCAGTTAGGTAGGTGTAGAAGGCTTCTTCAACCTTTCGTCTTCTCGTGTGTAGTTCATATCCCATTACTTTAGTTTTAGTTCACTTTATTGTATGTATTCTTCTTTGGTACGATGGGTTACGGTGTATTATTGAGTTACTATACTCCTGAATTCTGACTTCAGTTTGCCTTTTTTGTTTTTCTAATCTCGTGCTGCCTACATTCACAACAAAACTGGGTCTTTAGGTGGTTTGGATCAACTATGTGTCCGTAATTCTTATCGTATTTATTCTCCATCTAGTGTTCAACATGTGTAACTATGTTAAAGGAGACCATTTTATGTTCACGTAGATGAGGAATCTAAGCTTTAATCTTCTTAAATTATTTTGTTTTTATTAGAAAGTACAGTTGGGAAGTTGTCTACCCTGTCAATTTCAGACAACTTTAGTACATGTGGTATGTGTTAATAACACGTGTTAATCACGTAGATGAAGAATCTAAGCTTTAATCTTCTTAGATTATTTTGTTTTATTAGAAAGTACAGTTGGGAAGTTGTATACCCTGTCAATTTCAGACAACTTTAGTACATGCGGTATGTGTTAATAACATGTGTTAATGGAAACTTTGTGCAAACAAATCTATGACCCTACTAACACCACCAGTGACCTTCGCTAGATATAGACAATCTATGACAGTAAACCCTACTAACACCACCAGTGACCTTCGCTAGATATAGACAATATATGACAGTAAACCCTACTAACACCAGTGACCTTCGCTAGATATAGACAATCTATGACAGTAAACCCTACTAACACCACCAGTGACCTTCGCTAGATATAGACAATCTATGACAGTAAGGCATTCAACCGGGTCACAGAAATTTCAACACAGATGGAAATAGTTGCAGCAAAGTGAACAGTACGACTCTCAACAAAAACATTCTGCATTAAACCAATAAAACAGAGCTTGTGTGAGATCCCTTGACCGTTGTTCAGTAATTCACATGGAAGGTTAGAGAATAGAAAACTATGGGTAAGTGAGGCACACTCTGCAAATTCGAAAACTTTAAGTCGCATTTTTTGATGACAGCATGAGTTCAAAATTAACAAGGAAAAACTTTAAGCACTCCAGAGGTAAGTCTACGTGATTTGAGTTAAATACTATAGTATGTTACATTCCAGTATTTTGGTATGAACAGTTACTTGTCAGAGTTTAATTATTATGCTCACCTCTATCAGTTGGTATGAAGGAGGATTGTGATGGTGATAATAATCGTCTTTGTAATCCTGCATTTAAAAGAGCCTGCTGGGCCATAGTCTTAAGAGAAGACATAGTTGGTTCTGGTAGAGGCTAGAAAAGAAAAAGTTTAGTTTAATTACAGTACGCTACTAAGTTTTGTTAATCCTCCTTGGTATGATTCAAACAACTGATGGTAATTGTCATATAGGGGCTTCATTAAACACCCTTCTCAAATAACATCTAAACAAGCACTGAAAATCTTCACCTTCAAGTTTTCAGATGTTTCAAATCATCAATAATGTCTTGTATTACTTGTCAAATTTCACCCATTTCTCGTTATACATCATTTAGCAATGTGAAAAATTTAATTTGATATATTTTGAAAATTTTCAATTCACGGAAAATATTAACCAATTATTTACATAAAAAATGTGTTGATTATCGATTTCCCATTGTTCTACAAACTTAAGCTTCCTTTGATGGAATGCAGTGTAACAACTGTACAAGAGAAAGCAAGTGTTTCTGTAACTAGTAATAACTAATATTTCTACTGTCATGCAGGTTGAATGGTGCTAACCTGTTGGCATCACAATACACAACTTTTCACAGTAACTCTACTGTCATGCAGGTTGAATGGTGCTTACCTGTTGGCCTCACAATACATAACACTTCACAGTAACTCTACTGTCATGTAGGTTGAATGGTACTCACCTGTTGGCATCACAATACACAACATTTCACAGTAACTCTACTGTCATGCAGGTTGAATGGTACTCACCTGTTGGCAGAGTTACTGTGAAATGTTGTGTATTGTGATTACTGTAATGGAGGTTAAATGGTACTCACCTGTTGGCCTCGCAATACACAACATTTCACAGTAACTCTACTGTCATGCAAGTTGAATGGTGCTTACCTGTTGGCATCACAATACACAACATTTCACAGTAACTCTACTGTCATGCAGGTTGAATGGTACTCACCTGTTGGCATCACAATACACAACATTTCACAGAAACTCTACTGTAATGCAGGTTAAATGGTACTCACCTGTTGGCATCACAATACACAACATTCACAGTAACTCTACTGTAATGGAGGTTGAATGGTACTCACCTGTTGCCATCACAATACACAACATTTCACAGTAACTCTACTGTAATGGAGGTTGAATGGTACTCACCTGTTGGCATCACAATACACAACATTTCACAGTAACTCTACTGT